CGCGGTGCGCGCGCGCCCCCTGCTGGGCAGACGCCCCCTACTGCAGGCCCAGAACCTGGGCAGAGGTGGGCAAGTGGTCAGTCTGAGGAGCAGAAGGGACTGCCTTTTACCCCAAAGGTGCTGCCGGGTCTCTTGGCTGTGGGAATGTCTTTTGTGAACCCTCAGGAGAACACCTCACCTCTGCCACTGAACTGCACTCCCCAGCCCTCTTCATTTTTATTTTGAGACAGGGTCTCACTAAGTCTCTAAGTGGCCCAGGCTGAGTTGAACTCGAAATTCTCTTGCCTCAGCCTCCCAAAGTGCTGGGCTTGCAGGTGTGCACCACTTGGCTTCCAGAGAAGAAACTGGAGCCGTGGCACCCAGAGTTGCTTCTGGGCTGCAGTCTCACCTGCTGTATGGGGACCCAGGCCAGGCCGGTTCCCGTCCCCTACCCGAGTGCAGAGGCTCCTGCTGCGGGAGAAGAGGGTGGCAGTGTGACCTCCGGGTCCCTCGGCTCCCCACTGCGCGTGCACACACACGCACACACACGTGCATACACACATGTGCACCCTGCTTCAGGAGGTGGCAGGAGCGGCCAGGCGTGTCCAGGGAGGAAGGGTGTCCCCAGCAGAGTCTTCTACTCTGGCTCATTGTAAGGTGTGACCAGAGCCTGTGCAGGGCGCGCGGCGTCTCCAGCCCCCAGGCCGGACCTGAGCTGTGGCGTGACCCCCCCCCGGCCATCTGGGCATTGCCATAGTGCCACCTGTCCTGTCCATGGTGCTGCCCTGGTCAGCAGGTCCCCACCCCAGGCAGCAATCAGCCTCCACCGGGCAGAGCCGCACAGCCCCTGTGCAGTCCAGCACCAGCCCCTGGGACTCCCTGACACAGAGAACCCAGGGCTCCAACACAGGGCAGGGCAGGCACCTCCGGGCCCACCATGCTGCCTGGGGGCCCTGAGAGGAACAGGGCAGACAGGGAAGCCAGGCAGGAGAGAACAACATGCTGAAAGAATGGAGAAGAATCAGGGCAGGGAGGACGAGAGAAACCAATGAGAACCCAAAGGAGGGGTTGTGAACCTAATTATACAGAAGTAGAAAGGAGTCAACGTGGCTTTCTCCCAGGCTTTCTTGTTAAAAACAAGCACATGACAGTCAGCTGGTTTTGAGCATTACCCCACACATCTAACACCTAGTCCTTTTTCAATTTTGAGATAGGGTCATGCCAGGTTTCCCACACTGGCCTTAAACTTGCAGTTGTTTCTGCCTCAGCCTCCCATGTGCCTGGTATTACAGGTGTGCACCACTGCACATGACTAAACTACTAAATTGTATACATGTGTTTCATGTTTTCAATTTAAAAGGATAAGCTGGCCAGGAGTGACGGTGAATGCCTGTATTATCAGCACTTGGGAGGCTGAGGCAGGAGGATTGCAAGTTCCAACCCAGCCTGGGCAATTTAAGGAGAACCTGTCTCAAAAAATGAAACTTAAAAAAGGGTGGGAACGTAGCTCAGGGCAAAGGCTTCGGGTTCCATCCTCAATACCACACACTCCTGCACACGAGTGCACGCCCCCACTCATGTCTCGGGCAGAGGGAAATGAGTGCTTTGCTGTGGTTCTGAATCAGAAGCTGGGCCAACCATGGTCGGGAGCCCACGGTGTCCCTGGGCGAGTAGCGGAGCCCTACGTGGCTGGCAGCCAAGGCTCAGCTCTGTCTCTGGCTTGGGCTGCGCTTGCTACCACTCTCTGCTGCTCCCCGGAGTTGCACAGCAGAGCCAGAGCAGGGACCCCGACTCTAGCCCTGCAGCCAGGCCCAGTGCTTGTGTCCGGAGCATGGCGCATGTACGCCTCTTCTGGTCCTGCATCGAGGCCACTGCCAGCGCTGGCTGCTTCCTGGTCGCCTGGCCAGCATGTAGCGCTGAGGTGCAGGTCTTGGTGCAGTGCTGTCCAGCTGCCCCCGAGCCCTGGGCAGGGAAGGGCAGGCAGACTCAGCACATCCCAAGCCGTCCCGCAAGGACTGCAACTCTGTATGATGACCCCCGCTGGGGGAGGTGTGGCACACATCATCCCAGCGCTCAGGAGGCTGAAGCAGGAGGTCACTGTGAGTTCGAGGCCAGAAGCCTGGGCTACGTAGCTTGACCCTGTCTGGAAAACAAATTAAGACACCCCTAGCCTGGTTTCCCATTCCACGACAGTGCTAGTTCAGTATCCCCGGGAGCCGAGGTCAAGCTGACTCCATGCTACAGTTGCAGCTAGTGGCCGACAGGGGGCACTCACCAGCAGTCCTCACTGGTAACAAGTGAAAACCTCGAATTTGCACTCAAGTTATTCAGAAACATTTAGCTAGTTCCTTGAATCTTCCAGGACTTCAACACTTTTTTTCACTTATGTATTTTTGTCTTAGAGCTAATTTATCTCAATGCCTACACATAAACTTTACAGGAAATAGATGTGTTTTAGGCCAAGTTTTAAAGTTTTGTGGTATGTGTGTGAGTTCACAAGTTGTAAGTGTGCAGCTGGATGAAGGTTCACACAGGCAGCCCACCTGCTCATACCCAGAGGGTGGGAATAGCAGCCTCTGCGTGTCAAGAGTGCAGGGGTGTTCCGAGGGGGATTCGTGGCCATGTGGCTTTTTATTATTTTTCTCTAAATTTAAACGTTCATTGTATATTTTGATCACACTGCACGCTCAGGACAAAAATCCCAGGCCACAGGGCGTGCATGCTTGGGGCTGTGGGAGGAACGACTGCACAGGTCACAGGAAAGGCAGTGCCAATTTCCGCTCCCACAGGCACACTAGGGTTCTACAATTGCACCAACATTTTACACACGTTACACACGTAACTCGATTGCATGACATTATTATGATGTGGAATAGGGCTTCTCCAGGGGTTCCCACCCAGTGTAACCACAGCCAGATGCCAAGGAAAGAAAAGTGAAGACAGAAAACAACTACAAAGACTAGGAATGAATGTTTTCCATGGTGATCTACTGGATATTTTAAGATGGTTGAACTCAGGAGGTCTGTTCTTTTTTGTTTTTTGTTTTTGAGACAGTCTTGCTATATAGTTCAGGCTGGCCTCAAAATCACGGAAATCCTCCTGCCTCAGCCTCCTGACTACTGGGATTACAGGTGTGCGCGTCTTAATTGGTGGAAGGGGTAGTGGCTGAAATTCCTGTGCATTCTTCTTGGAACATTCAGCTGTGTTGTGTTCACTTGCTTTGGTCATTGGACCCCACTCCAACTGGGCAGCCATGTCAGATCCAAACCAAGTCAGAATCAACTCTTCCCGCAGCCCATAGTCTGTGTGGTGACAACCAGTATGTCCCCAGGGACACCTGAAAACGGAACCAGAAGGCTGCGTGATGTTGGAAGGAGCCGGCCAAGGTCGCCGTGCCCCATCCGAGGAGTGGCCCGGGCCCTGCCCCTCGGCCTCCCGCAGGTGTGAACACAGCCAAGCGTGTGTGGCCTGCGTGTGCCGCCCAGGTGCGGTGTGGTGCCTCCCCAGGGAGCGGGACCAAGCGGTGCTCTGGTCACGCTCCTGCCATGCAGGTCGCCTGTCCTGGACCCCAGGAGCAAACCCCACTTGCCCAGCCCTTTCCTGGAGAATCCCAGGCGCTCTCTGAGCAGAGGCCCAAGACCACGGCCTCACTGCCCTGCTCCTCAGGTTCGTCCAGGGTAGGTGCCGTCTCTTCACGTCCTCCCATCCACGAGGGGCAGCCCTGGCACAGGGCATGCTTTTTGGAACCAAAATAAGGGCTTTCCTTTTGGTACCAGGGTTCCAACTCGGGTCCTTGCGCTTGTGAGGCGGGTGGAGGAACCACTGCAGTAAATCCCCAGCCCAGGACTTCACTGCTTTTAAAAAGCCTGTCGTAATGAAGCGTTCTCTTTACTCTGTGTAGAGCTTGTGTGATGTGGTGTCCCCGAGGTAAGACGCGTCTCAGAGCGCCGTGTGCTGCTGTGTCTGCTCCAGCACCACCGCCCCTCTCCAGAGCATCCTCCTTGCTCCACACGGAAGCTTCTGTCGAGCACTGATTCCTCTGGCCCGGCGCCCGCCACCCACTTGCTGTCCTTGCTGGAGCGTCTCGTTTTCCTGGTCGTGATGTCCTCAAAGCTCATCCATGCTGTCACGGTGCCAGCACTTCCTTCCTTCAAGGCAGAATTATGTCCACGGCATTGTGTCCTTTGTCTGTCAATGGACCTGCGTGGCTTCTACATCTTGGCCCCTGTGAACAGTGCTGCCGTGCAACACGGCTGTCCCCGCAGGCTGCATCTTCAAAGGTGTGGCCAGAAGTGGGCGGCTGGGTCACCCAGTGACTCGAATGAGTTGTCTGAAGAACTGCCATTTTTCCACGGTGCTGAGGAATTCTTCATGTGCTGTGGGCCTTTTGCCGGCCCCGGCCTGTGTACATCCTCAGGTGGCTTCCAGAGTCACTCAGAAAAGCACAGGGCCAGTGCTTCTAGGAGCTTTTTCACCTGGACGTTGAAATGCAGCAGGATTTCTTGCAGAGAAAAGGCTCCCCGGCCCCAAAATGATCTTCTCTCTGTTCCAGAGAGATGGGCCCAGCAGGAGCATCTGCAGGGCGGGCAGCTGGGGTGCGGGCAGCAGCCACTGTGTGACTCAAACCGAGGTCCAACAGAGCCGGAGGGATGCAGGGCTCGGGAAAACACCAAAGAAGGTAGCGAACGTGCAGGGGGAGTCCCAGGAGAGGGAGCGGGCGCAGGGCATGAGAAATATCCCAAGGGTTAACGTCAAGAATGTGTGGAATTAAGGAGGGTGCCAGTCACAGCCCAGAGAACCCAAGAGGAGGAGTGCCATTAAGGACAAGGACAGCAAACAGTGTGGCCAGCAGAGCAGCCTGGACCACTGAGGGAAAGGACAGAACCGTGTGCTGCTCACAGGGACCACAGGAGAACCCCAAACTTCACCTCAGAAGCTGCAGGAACATCAAGAAAACGGATGACAAGCACAGATTTGGAAATTGAGCAGGGCCAAGCGTGAGCCTCATCGGGCTGTGGACAGCGTGTGGCCTGATTGCGGTGGTCACACCCATCTTTGCATGTGGCGGAACTCACAGGCCTGCACACATGCACACGCACACACATGGCACGGTCCCTGGTTAGCGGTGCCACTTCAGCTTCCCCCCCTTGTGGTGAAAAGGCCTCGCTGTCGCCAAGGCGCGTGGAATCTGTTTTGGAAACAAACCACAAGCGTATATTTATTTCACAATGCGAATAAACAGGTTTGAAAGCACCATATCCTTATCTGACAGGAACACACAACTCTGGGGTACAGCACGTGCATTGTTCGGAGGTTCGTGGGCCTCACATGATCTTAGCAGAGTGTGGAGAGCCGGGTCTGTTAGCTCAGTTGCCTGTTCTTGGCAGGAGCATCACGAGTGCCAGGCTGGCCAGGCCGCACTGCTGAGCGAGGCCGTCTTGAGAACCCCAGCAGGGGCACAGCACCCTATGCTGTCTGCGCCAGTG